GGGGGCACGGGGAGGGCTGTGCAGCACAGAGAAGACAAGTAGTGATTCTACAACATCTTACTATGCTGATGGACAGTGACTGTAATGGGGTTTGTTGGGGGGACTTGGTGAAGGGGGGACCCTAGTAAACACAATGTTCTTCATGTAATTGTAGATTAATGATAACAAACAAACAAACAAACAAAAAATGGTGTTCAGTAGAATCCATGCTATTTTTAAAAAGAAATGGTTTCTTTGATTCCAAGCGGAAGTTATAAACTTTTGTTAGAGAGCATTTCCACTGCCAGAAGAATATCCTGTTCCATCAGTGAAACAGATGAAGGCCTGGCTTTTGTTTTCATCATTTTTTAAAATTTGTTTTCAAGATGAAAACAGCATGATTTTCTCTTCTGTTTTAAAAAATAGCATCTGCTCATTGTTAAACAAAGAACAGGATGGTGAAACATCCTGGCAGTTTGCTTTCTATTTACCCTGTCAGTTTGGTTTCCTTCTTGGTCTGACCCTTCCGTATCTTAGCAGAAATTCCTTCTCCATACACCTCAGTTAGGTATTTTATCATGGAAATAATTTGGGGCAAAGCACAGCCTTGAAAAGTAGAAATAACTGGGACTCTTAGGTGAGCTTGTCTTTTTAAAGGAGAACCCATCAGGGGCCTGTGCTTTGCAAACTCTGTTCATCCATTTCCTTATGTGGGTAAAGAGCTCATACAGACCTTCAGTGGTGAATTGCTGCACAGATTTTTTTTCTTTTCTCCAGTGAAGTTAGTCCGGGCTTGGACTGAAAAGGTCCACATACTTATAGGATTCCCCAGGGAATGTGTCATACTGGGATTTCCCCTGGAGAGAACTTAAATGCATTGTCGCCCCAGAACATCCTTTAGTCCCTAAATCTCAGTACTTGGCTTTCTTTTCAGAGAGTCTGTCCCCTTCCTGCCCCTCCAGGGATAGTGCTGACTCAGGATTAGTGGTGCTTATCTTTTCATCCTGTCCCCCCACCCAGACAGACATGAATGGGCCTCTTTCATCCTTTGCCCTCTCCCCTGTTTATGCCCCGAATTAGTATTCATAACCCTGGAACCAGACGCTGCACGAGAGCCGCCAGACCCTTTCCTGGAGCTTTCCTTGCCTGCCCTGCCCTGGGATTTAACAGGATGGGGAGAAGCATGTGGTTTTGTCCAGGGATGAGAGAAGCAATACATTATCTCTATGCCATGCTTTCCTTCCTTCTACTGTGTTATTATTACAATTTTATATGCATCTTGGTTTTTTTGTTTTGTTTTAGCTTCAATCATGTTTAATTCTAGTAGTTTTGTCAAAAGTATGTCAAGTTCTTGGGGCTTTTGGGAAAAGTCATACCAGTTTCACTCAGAAAATTACCTTTCTGCTGCTGACTGTGTACTTAGGACAAACATATGCTTACATCTTGTGGTCTGACAATGGAGACAGCCACTTCCTACCACCCTCCCCAGCATTTCCCCGAAGCAAGGCACTGCCCTGGGTGCTGTGATGATGGTAGAGGAGCAGGTGGCTGGCCTTACCCCCAGGAATCACACAGAAGAGGAGAACAAGGACCTAGTGAACATGTGGAGCAGCCAATGAGCTTGTGCTTAGACTAGAGCCTGCCTCCCCTTTACTGCCTCTGCCTTCTTGGCCTCCTTCCTTGGGAGAGCCGGGCAGCCCAGTCAGGCAGGCTACGGTTACCAACCAGGCCTGTACACTAACGAACTGAAGCAATTTAGACCAGGAGGAAGAGGCAGCTGAGTAGAGAGCTCCCTTTACCGTGCAGACCTCTGCGGCTAGCCCAAAGCCCTCTTTGGCTTGCAGGGCAGCAGCCCACATCTCATTCTGCTGTTTAAGCAGGTAGTTTCTTTTACAGAGAAAGCATCGTAGAATCCCTTTGAAGGGTACCAATCTTGTGGAAGGTTATACTTTTGCTGAAATTTAAGCCTTCCTCTAATTGCATCCACATGTTGCAAAGTGTGGTCAATTTTGGGCTTCCAGCATTTTGAGCTTTCTCCTTAATGGCCTGAGCTACTGCATCTAAAATTTGACGTGCACAGGAAACACCTTCCCTCGGAAACTCAGCTGTAACTCCAAGTCCCAGCTCCAATACTTACACCTCCACACAGCCTCTTTGGAATAAAGTCCATGTTAATTGCTCCTGAAATCCCCTGTTTAGCATTTAAATTCCACACTGCTGAGTTTCACACTCAGCCATATGTTGATTTGTTCATGGGACCAATATTTAGTAAAAATCAGCTACTCAGAACTCTATACTAGCATGTGGGGACTGCCATGGGGAACTGAGACCCAGACAGTGGGTCTGTTAAGCTCTTCAAATAACCCTAAATGAAAAGCCTGACATGTGATATGTGCATGTGAAGTGCATTGCTTGGAGTGGGCAGTAAAAAGTAACCCCCAAATCTTTATCAGTGACCTGAAGAACAAAAAGGTGTGTTTCTTTCTCAAGTTACATGGCCAGTGTGATTCACAGCAGGGCTCTCTGGTCATTTCTCAGACGGTGGACTAGTTTCCAATTTTCCATCTTGTTCTGTGTTGTTTTAGCTTCAATCATGTTTATTTCTAGTTATGAGGAGCTTGTCACTTCTGGACCAGAGAGAGAGTTCTTAGGTCCTGCATTAGCAGCTAAATCCTTGGGCCATGAAAGTCATACTTCTACACAAAACCCATTTAACCACAACTAACTTCTAGCTCTTCCATGAATAAACCACCAGTGTCCATGTTCTTAAATAAATTTATAAACTTCCGTAAAGCAAAGATTCATATTCTGTCTTACAGACATACCCCTGCTCTGTATCTGCCATGTACTCAACAGTGCAGATTCAATAGGTGTGCAGGACAAAGAAATGCCTTTCAATTTAAAATGGGCTGTGTCCTATGAAGGAATTTTGAATAATCATTTGGGGCGCCCCCTCGTGGTTCTGTAGCATGGAGCTTTTAAGTTCCACCCAAGGCACCTCCCTAATTATGGTTTAGGACGAAACTCTGAACTCACTCATGTGCATGTCATGGTGTTATACGTCTTTTAACACCCCCAAACATAAGAAATCATACCTAAATGCACCACCAAAGGGACATCACTTGCTGTTCCTTGTAACTTATTTTTTCCTAAATGTCATATTCTGTTAGTCTCCCAATACAGGTGAGAAAGGGAATCAGTAGGAAAAAAATCATTCTGAGGAACCCATATAATCGGAAACACACTTGTATCTTGTTGTTCTTTCAAAGTGTATAGTTTACCTAACATTTAGAAAATATGAATTCCTTTAAAAGAAAAGCCCAAAAAGCAAGTATTGCCAGGAGATATGTGGACTCCTTTTCCTCAAGTAAATGATTCCCCTGGGAGCTTTGTCCATGATACCTTCATATGCGCGCCACCCCCACCCCCCTCCTCTGTCAGGCCTGGGAAAGCATTTTCACAATTGCACTTAAATAATTTAGAGATTTTGTATGTGTCACCTGTTAGAATGGAAATTCCATCAGTGAAAACAGGTACCCCACTGGCCCTGGCACAGGCAGGGGAAACCTCGTACATACATCCAGGAGTATGACCTGCACGGGCGGGTGTCTCCCCTGAGGGTTTCAGCCCAGGAAAAGTTCACTCAGGATTCGGTGAGACGGAGCAACACAGCACAACATGCATAGCAGGTGAAAGGGTTTAGACCACGCTTTATTCTCACGGTGGCAGGTCAAGCACTAGGATCCCTTCTGCCTCGGGGCAAGTCTGCCTGAAGTAAGGGTCTCTGCACCGCCTGCAGCCCCCAGCCCTGCACAGAGCTGGGAAGAGCTCTTCATACAGTCAGTAATAACTCATTAGCCACAAATGTGCGAGCCTGCGCCAGGGCGCATCCCACGTGTGTGGTGGGCAAGCGGACCAGGGGCAAGTGAGCACCCTGGCCAGGAAACTTGCATTTTCCCTACAATGTGTGACCATGTAAGGTTATGCTCTTGGATGTGCTTCTGTGTTCCCCCGAGGAAATGAAGAAAATACAGAGTATTCTCTCTGCCTCCACTGGCGCTGCCTGTTGTGTCCGAGTGTAGATCCCCGTAGAACTCACTGTTTGCCCCTTTGCAGGAGGCTATTACTTGACCAGCGCCTACGGAGCACTTTCTCTGATCAAGAATTTCCAAGAAGAACAGGCGGCGCGGCTGCTCAGCTCGGAGGCTAGGGACACCCTGCGGCAGTGGCACAAACGGAGAACCACGAACCGGACCATCCCCTCGGTGGATGACTTCCAGGTAAGTGGCCAGCCAGGGTGACGCGGGGCCCGCCCCCGCTTCCTGTGTCCCACACGGCACTCATGGCCCCGGGCGCCAGAGGTCCCCTTTGTCAGACCATCAGACGGAAAAGGTTTATTTTAAACCACCTTCTGACCTTGTTGTTTCACTTCTTTGTTTTCCTTAAATTAAAAAAAAAAAAAAGTACGTGGGCATGGTCCAAGTTTTGCTGCCCTTAGGAAGACAGTCAAATTAAGGCGGGATTTCTCCGGGAACACAGTCTGGATGCTGAGCACCTCAGCAGGCGCCGAGTCTAAAATAGGGAAGCTCTCGGCACAGGTAGCGTGATTTTATTCTGACCTGGAGGAAACATTAGTGTTGGACGCTGGAGCTGCCCTGGTACCTCCCCACCCCGCAAAACAGAAGTCGGCACAGGTAGCGTGATTTTATTCTGACCTGGAGGAAACATTAGTGTTGGACGCTGGAGCTGCCCTGGTACCTCCCCACCCCGCAAAACAGAAGACCCTAGAATTTCCTGGGCAGCACCAGCTCTGGCAGCCGGCCAGGGCCAGAGTTTAAGATTGAGTTTCAGAGCCAAATCCTGCCTGATCTCCATCCAGAATTTTCCAGGACCATGAGCAGTTCTGGGAGTGTAGGGCTTCCAAAGAACTTGTTTCCTGGAGAGGAGAGGCAAATTAAGGCATAGGAACCTTTACCCAACACAATACTTGTTGATTTGCTCGTAGACTGAAACTATGAGATCTGCTAATGTCTTGGAATAATATTTTCAAAGTTTCAAATAATATTATAAAACCTGACTGATTAGTTTCTTTGTGCCACTTGGTGAATTTCCAGGCAGAACAGATTTGTGTTCATGCCCAGATTCACCTTCCTTGCTCTTGTGGCCTTTGCAGTGCTTTGAAAATGCTCAAAAGATACACGTGGTTCAAAATCCGCCCATTGTAGAAAATGCAAGTCAGCAAGTTTTTCTCCAAAATTTGGGGAAAGATGGCAGGATTGTGTGAAATTCCCTACCAGGCACATAAATCTAAAAAGCAAGAACACACACCATGCGCTTCTCTCCCATGCGTTGCTGAAAAAGTGACTAGCTGTGTGTTAAGGGATTTAGCATACGCAGGCTCTTGGGACACTGGTATCACTGTCCTGCTAGGGGATTCCTAACATCATACAGCTCTGAGAGAACAGAATGAGAATGAGAAAAGTGTAGAATGAGAGAAGCTCATTTACCTACCTCCTGACCTGCCATCAGCCCCTCCTTCCTATCCCATCTTTACTTCTAGAGTTTCTAACCAAAAGACCCCCGGATACCATGGGAGCCCCTTCCTTCTGCACACCCCTTCCAGCTGGCTTTGAAAACCTTCTTAGCGTGTAACCCAAGAGGGAAATTGTTGGAGATTTACAACAGATGTCAGTGTGATTTTAAAAGCCAAAACTCAGAAGCAAAGCTCCACTGGACCCCCCTCAATCAGGGGGCACAGACACACACAAAAGCCTCCTCATGTTGAAGGGCAGCACACCACAGTGAAAATGCTGTCTGGCCTTGGGCAAGATACTTAACTTCTCTGTGCCTTGGTTTCTTCACTGGTCAAACAGGAACAGTGTAGACTTACCTAAAGATGTTCTCTTCTGGAGTCAATGAGTAAGTACAAACCGAGTGAGTGAGCTGAGTGTTGAGGAGCAGGAAGGCAGAGGAAGGGTGCATTTGTATACTCTACGGTGTTGGAATTCAAGAGCACTGGAGTTACCGTATGTGTACAGAGCACACTGTCCTTCCCCGGAGCTTTCTCTTCCATCACCCAAGTAAACCCTCATGGTGACCGTGGGAGCCCTGGGCACGTCCCTTCATTCCTGAGTGGGGTTGCCAGATATAGAAAAAGAAATATGTTTGTTTTCTGTCTGAAAATTAAGTTTAACTGGGTGTTCTCTATCTTCTCTGGTAACCCCACTCCTGAGGAGGTGGAAGCTGAAGAAATTATCCAGGGTCACAAAATTTCAGAGAGCCTAGTGTAAGTGTAGGATTCTTTACACCTCATCTGGTCGTTGTGTGTGCATTTGGACCACAGGTGTGTTGCATGTCATGATGACCTAAGTGCCAAGCCTGCACACACGCCTTCCTGTGACTTCCCTGCAGAACCACTTTGCACATAGTGAGCTCCATCTCCACAGCCTTTCAGCAGAGTCAACACCTCATCTTGCCGACTTGCTCTACATTGCACTCGGAGCCACGTGGAGCCATGTATGAGGTTGAACCACATGAAACTGTCTTTTGGGGAAGTGAAAAATGGTCAGGTCTCAGCAGTGTCTGTGGTCCAACCCAACATCGTGGCTCTTGCTTAGGCTTCATGAGAGGTGGTCCCAGTGAGCACAGTACATGCCCTATGTCTGCATATTTTACATGTCTCTTCCTGCTGACTCCTGATCCAGCTTCTCCTGCTATTTGGTTTACTTTTCAAGTTGAGAATGAACCCAGCATGGGATCTGGTTCACACTCTTAGCAAGGGATTTCTTAATAGCTTTATAAAGGACACTGAAAGATCAGGGCAGGCTGAGTGGACTTCTTGCTTCTTGTGTTTACAAGAATTAAAATACAGCAGCTCAGCTTGTATGGCTGTTTGGCCCCACTGTCCAAATTCAAACCAGTCTTTTTCCTTGTGTTCAAGGCCTTGTGTCCTGACATTGGACATCCTGATGGGCCAGAGCATGGAGTGGCTCAAAGTTAGAAGCATTTCATCGTGCTTACCCAGAGCTCTGTCTCATTTCCTCTTCTGACTCTCTCCCTGACATTTGTCTTTCTACCTGCAGAATTATCTCCGAGTTGCATTCCAGGAGGTCAACAGTGGTTGCACAGGAAAAACCCTCCTTGTAAGACCTTACGTCACCACTGAGGATGTGTGTCAGCTCTGTGCTGAGAAGTTCAAAGTGGGGGATCCTGAGGAGTACAGCCTCTTCCTCTTCATTGACGAAACATGGCAGCAGCTGGCAGAGGACACTTACCCTCAAAAAATCAAGGCTGAGCTGCACAGCCGGCCACAACCTCACATCTTCCACTTTGTCTACAAGCGCATCAAGAATGATCCTTACAGAGCCATCTTCCATAATGGGGAAGACGATCTCACCGCCTCATAGAAGACACATGGGACTTCCCAGTGGTGCATCCAAAAGGGGGTCAGGAACCTTGCCTTCCTGACCCCTCATGCTTCCTCATGCTTGTGGTTGAAAAGCAGTCACCTCTTTGGGGACCCCTTGGTTCAGCGACTAAGGTATCCGCAGGCCAGCTTGGCCAAGGGCATCTTTAGCCACATTGTCCAAGCAAGGCAGCTGAGGTTCATGAAACCATAGGAGTCTCCTTCAGAGATGGAGAACTGCTCTTGAAGTGTCCTGAGATTGTTTGCTACCTACCCCCAGCTGGGTTCTAGGTTGGCTTACATGTTGTATATGTGCTGAATAAACATCTAAGAGGTACAAGCTCTTCTCTTGAATTCTGCAGCCAGGCTTTGACAAGACTGTCCGATGCAGTGCATCAGGCATTTCTCAGTTCTGTGGATGGCTCCATCTTTTCCTTCCATTCTTTTCTTTTTTCCTTTTTTTTTCTTTCTTTTTTTGTTTTTTTACAGAGACTCTGTTTTTATATATTTCATAGAAATTTTTATAGCAGTTGCAGGTAAACTGTCAGGATTGGTTTTTAAATATTTTTGTAACTAAGATATTCTATAATTATGCATGTGATTTTAACATTTAATATTCAAAAAACTCTTGCTGGATTTGAGAGTATTGCATTTTTAAAGTCTCTCCTCTGTAACTGGATGTTTTAGCAGCTTTGTGGGGGAAGAGATGGCTGGATTTCTTAAAGCATGTGTCACTGACACTGGCCACAGAATGCCTTTGGAAATCTGAGGTACTGTTATCTTGTTCACAGTTGGTGGTAGCGGGCTCTTTCTAGTTTTAACAAAGTGATGCTGAGATCAGGAGAGAAATGAATGTAGATGAGAGGTTAAGAGAGAAATACAGACTCTAACAAAGGACTAAGTGTAGTCTGCTGGTTCAGGCTCCATGAAGGAAGTAGGAAAAGGAGATGAAAGGAACCACCTCTGTGGAAAATACTGCAAATATGCAGTGAGTTTTGGCAAAGCCTATCCCATGTTACTTGCTTTGGGAAACAATTATGAAAGTCCCACAAGGAAAAAAAATAAGGATAACACTTTTTTTTCCTTTTTCACATAAATCAAAACCAGCAGCATCAAATGATTTGGGGCAGAAATCAAGTAATGTGTAATGTGACTTTTATTAAGTTAAAGAAGATGCTGTTTGGAAAAGAGTTTGCAAAGGCACCAAAAAGCCTGTCTGCACTGTAAGAATGTATGGGGAAGTTAGATTTATGTTCTTTGAAACCTGTTTGGAAGAGGGCAACGCCTGAGGGTCCTGTGGTCCATGTAACACAGGGAGTCATAGAAACATGTTGTCCTGCATAAAGGTGCGCCATCATCTGATTTGGTTGGCTTTGTACCTTGTAGCTTTCATACCTTTTGCTGTATGTGTAGAACCCTCAGCATGTACCATGTTGTACTTCCTTTTGTAAATGATTTTTTAAATGGAATTTTGCACATAATACATTGTAATACTGTACAATAATCATGGGTGAAAATAATTTTTGAAATGTGGAGTTGTCTTTTTAAGAAACAGAATGTCATTTTGCACCACACAATGTTATAGAAATCTGAAATCCACCGTCTTTGTGGTTAGATAACCCATAGAGAGGAAACAGAAGAGTTTCTATTTTTCAGCAACCCATGTACTAAAATGAGGCAAAAATCAAGGGGCAGGAGAAGGATAGTGTTCTAACCTGAAAGGATTTCCAGTGTTACCTACAGTACGTGGCTTAGTTGTATCTAGAGAAAATCACTGTTATCACCCCTTTCTTATGTAACTTCAGTAATATTTCAAAATCAACAGGGCAGATGATAGGGGTTTGCTACCATATTTCTGGTGCTTGGAACTGTGCCCGGCAGATAACAAGTGCTTGAGAAGTCCGTATTTATTGAACAAACTTTCCAACCCATCAGCAGGATGGATACTTGAAGATCAGAACAATGTGTGAATAAACCGCCTGATTTTCATATTTACAATGAATTAAAAATGACTGTTCGATCCATAGAGTTGTCTTCCCCTCTCTCCAAAGTAAGGTCATCATGCTGTCCTTGTCCTTACAAATCAGTACACTGCGATTTAAAGCTGGTCACAACTTCTGAATGGGAGGCAGTCTGAGTAGCAAGATGAGAGCGACATTGAAATGGGAAAAGGTAGTGTGAGCAGAAGAAAACATCACAAGACACCCCTGACTTTGTCATTGGGCAATGTTTCTCTGCTAAAATTACAACATAAAATGTCTTCACTTTTTCCCCCCAACGCAAACATTTCTCACTTCTCAAATTGCCAGGAAACAGACTTTGGTGAGACTTGGAAGGAATAAGAGGAGAGTAAAAATATATATGATGGGTGGAGGGAAAGGAGAATGTATTTCCAAATCTAAAATTATGTTATAAACATTGATTGCCAGCCAAAGGGAAGGATTTCTTTTTATGTTGATGTGCTGCCAAATATTCCTCCATCAGGGACACAGTATAGAAATAGAAACTTCATAAAGTATCTCAGTGTCATGCGAAATTACAGCTCTAGATCTATAAACAAACACCAAAGACAGGAAACCCAACTATGAATGCTTTCATTCATAAATGTGGCTTTACCTCTGTTGGGCAGTTCTTACACGCATTTTCCTTAAGAGGACTGAAATGAGAGAGCATTCTGACTGTTAACAGCACCTATCTGGTTATTCCCCCAAAGCCTGCAAGACACAGGTATTTTAATCATCTGGCACTATGTGAGAGCAAAATCCTAAAATTCATTTTTCAGATCCTGCTCAGGACAGCAAATTTGAGGCCAGAAGTGTCACTGGTCTTTTGGTTAACCCTATCAAGTGCGAAATACAAAAGAAGTCCTAGAACACTGCAGAATCCTAAACAGACCATAAGAAAAAAGGGAAGAGACAGAGGGCAAGGGGAGAGAAATGTCCAGAGTTTGTCTTAGAGAACAGGTTCTTGTCTGAAAATCATCTATTTTTCTCCAACATCAAAGGATGGGTGGCATTTCGCACAAAACTTTTCCCACATGAACACTGACTTTGCCAGGAGAGTGGGCATGGGAAATTTTTATTTCTTTAATTACTCGGGAAGGTCTGGGCCAATATGCATAAAGTGGTAACCAGTCTGTCATCAGACCCCCACCCAACAGTAGAATCTCCACTTTGATGTGAAGCTTTGATTGCCTGCTTTATCACTGGTCTCATCAATTCTAACATTCCAAAGTGGAATTCTGGGACACTCCCTGTAAGAGACAGTTAGACTATTATTTATAGTAAGTGACTCTGAGTATTGCTTTTGAGGAAACAGAACTGTGGGCTGCCAACCTGGACAGGGGGCAGGGGCCTCAGGGCCTGTGAACCTGGGATAGCCACGGGTGGGCTTAGCTCTCGGCCGTGGTTTTTCTCGGGGCCTGCATGTCCCCTGTAGTGGCGGAGGAGACCAGGGCACTTGTGTCTCTGTCACCAGCCCTTGGGGTCCCGGAGAAAGCATCACCACACAACGGAAGGCATTTTGTCTCATTTGGCTCCATTTCTTCCCTTTCCTCCCATTTCTTCCTGGTGGCCATGCCACTCACCCTCTCCCAGTAGGCTATAATGAGAGCTCTAACAGGGCTCCTTGCCTAAAGGCAGGCTCTGACTTGCCACGTCCTTTTCATAACTTGTTTCTCCAGTTCCAACCAGAGACACAGGGTGTGAACCAGGCCCCACTGCAAACACTGTCCACCAACCCTGTCTGTCTCCGGGATTTGCTGTCACCTGGTCCTGTTGGGATCAGCTTTGGCCTGTTCTTCAAATCACCTGCAGGCCTTTAAATCTCCTGATGTTCAGGTTGCCCTGAACATATGCGCAGTCATTTTTACTAAAACTTTCAAGGTGTCTCTGTCAAACGAGGGCTGAGAAACACCAACCTAGATCAAGACACAAGTTTGAAGAAAGAAACACACCTAGGACAAGCCCTTGGCTATGGCCACTAATACCTAACCAGGTGCAGGTTCTCAATTTTATTTGGTTGGCAGAGGCCCATGGACTATGTATGTGCTTCTAGCATGGTGCTGTTCCCCAGAAATAAAAAGCAAGTCACATATCATTTACAATTTTCCAGTAGCCACATTAAGAAAGGAAAAATAAATGGATGATACAATAATATGTTACTAATCACTTATTTTATTTTAGTAATATACTAGCATGTCATGATATCCCAAGTATATTTCAATAATTAAAATATTAAGGAGTCACTTTACATGATTTTATGTTTTTACATTGTCTTCAAAATCTTGTATGTATTTTGCATTCAGAAAACATCTCACTTCACACCAGCCAAGTGCCTAATACTCAGTATGCACACATGGTTGGTGGCTCCCATATTAGATAATGCGGTTCTAGCATATCAACTAGGAATGGTTTAAAAAGCTAAAAAAATTAACTCTGTGTATATAAAATAAAATCACATCCACTGCTTACATCCACAACATACACACACATGCACACTGTCAAACACATATTTCTTACTCCCCTAAGATAATGACAGAATCTTGGCTCATCAGAGTGTCCAAGACCAGCATGAATTAACTGATGCAAAGTCTTAGCATTACCTAGCCTTCCATCAGCACATTAAATACTAGTTACTCTTACCATTAGGTCATCAACTTCTTTGAAATTTTACCTCTACTGTATACTATTTATTTCAACCCATTCATGTTGTTATTTGCTGGCTAGTATCTTGTGAAATTAAAGAAAGGCAGTAACAGGTATCAGAGGCCTAAGAAAAATGTGTTGTAATGGGGTGCCCAGTGTGGGAGGATTAAAAAGAAAGTGAATGCCATCCACTAACTCTGCTGTTGAGGGGGTGGCGGTGATGGTGATGGTAACGTATATGTTTGAATCGGGAGTATTTTCCCCTTGTTCCCTACTGGCCGAACATCATTGGGACCTGTAGCCAGTGGTGACTTTGCCAAGAAAGGGGAAAGGGAGGAAGGGAGGTTGCAAAGACAAGCTTTGCGTGTTTCCCAGAGAGAAATCCCAAAAGGAACCATCTCTGCCCCTGCAGGAGTCTCAGAAGCACTTCCCAGAAAGGAATTCTTATGTAATCATTATAGTCAGTAATCATTTTAACAACTTTTCCTCTTTTTATTCTATTTACTATATTCACATATTTATTTAGAGATTTATATATACATGGATATCATTTAACAGGATTGCCGTTGAAAGCATTACGCTTACCAAAAGGTATAACGTATTTGATGTGATTTTCTTTAGTGCTGATGTCTGTGTTTCCTATTTCCTGCCATTTCTGCAAAGTGTGAAAGGATGGACTCATTTGCAGCTTCAGTCTATTTTTATCTTTCTCACTCTTTTTTCTCTGTAGTCTGTTCATATACACTTGCAGAGCAGACCTGCATCTACTGTGAACTGAAAGAATGAGAAACTGCAAACAATAAACAATAACCAATCAAAAGGAATTATAAGTGAAGTAACTAGGACACGAGCGCTACTGTTTTTTATGAGCACATGGAAATACAATACTTGTCAAATTGCAAAATCTCATTTCCCAGATAGTTTAAAATTTTGTTGCTGAAAATACAGTCCATGGGCCAAGCATCACCCCTAGGAGCTGCCTAGAATCTGAGGCCCCTCCCAGACCTGCTGAGTTAGGATCTGCATTTTTCACAAGATTCCCAGATGATCCACGTGCATGTCAGTTTGACTAAGAAATATTCTTTCAAGGCACATTTGGTTCAATGGCTTTTGTGCAGCTGACACACGGAACAAACGTAGGTGTGCTCTGTTACAACTCTGGAGGAAGGTTGAGAAAAATAGCTCATGATGTTTATTTAAAAAAGGCATAATGTCACTTAGAATCACATTATCACAAAGGGTCAAAGTGCAGATGTCAGGAAACAAGTATTTACTTCATGGTTATTCATTATATTCTTGCTTTTAAAAGGAAAAGCCTGAAGGATATGGGGAAAGACTGAAAATGAGGTGAGGTTGATGAAGACGAATTAAGTGATTTTGTTACATGTCATCTTCTTTCACTTCCAACTATACGAGGACAAACAGAAGCTAAGTCAGAAGGTTCTTCCTGGCTGAGCCAGCTGCTCACACATGTGCATGTGTGTGAGTGTGTGGGGGAGGCAGGGGACATCATTATGTAGTCTGGTTAGTTAATTAGTCACACTGTCTGCATGTGATGTGGGAAGTTTATGAACTTTGCTATTTTCTGAAAGGGCAGCCAACTTCCTTTTAAAGGCATTTCATTCCTTGAGGATCTGTTTACTAATTATAGGGCCATTTCACTATCAGTTTTGAAAAACATGGGAGGTATACTTAAATAAGTATGGTTGGTGACCAAGGATTGAATTGTTTAAAACACCTTTGGAAAAGTGAGCTCCTTTGGACTCACCACCTGGGAACTGCAAAGGGAAAGGGCCATGAGTTTTGTAGAACATCTCCATTTCTCTGGGCAATAATGCAAATAGTCCTACACTTTTCTCCATAAAGTGGGTTCA